TTTTAATAAACCGAACACGCGAGTAAATGAGCGAATGCGTTCCAGAAGCCGGAGCTGCGGCGCCGCGGCCGCCGCTCTCTCACCTCTCCGATATGAAGTAAGCAATTACAAGATTCCGCGGCGGAATTATTTAGCGCACGCGGGGGAGTTCGGCGGCAGTCTCACTCACGCGATGCTTCACGGGGCCTGGATCTCTCTTCTCGAACGCTGCATTATTCAGCGGCTCAATTGGACCCCTCGATCTCTCACGTGGCCGCACGTCGTTTCCTGCGGATCCTCTCGACAAACGGCTGCGTCTCGCCGCCGTTCGCTCGACGTAGGAGAGCACTTCGCTCCGCATAGAAAATTTCTTCGGGATCTTTTATTGAGATCCAATCCGATTTCCCGAAAAATAATTCTTTAGGAAATCGGAATAAATCCCTAATCAGAATTATTTCATATAGTTGGAATGAGAATGGGATTTCTATTTGGTACACGGAAAAAAAGGATTAGCAGCAAACTAATTTGTTATATATAGACAGTTAAACATAATTCGCTGCGTTAGCTGCTTTTTCTTTGCTGCGGGAGCCTATTTCCTTGCTATGACAACAAGAAAATTTGCTCGTGCAGCAAGAAAAGTGCCGCAAATTTGCTACAGATGGACAACATAATTTAGCTACTTTTTTGTTGCAGAAGCAGATTTTCTTGTTATCTTAGTGAGAAAATTGATTCCTGTAGTAAAGGAAAAAGACTAACACAGCAAATTATATTTAGTTGTCTATATCTTTTTTTCCGTATATCGTAAATCGCATCAAATGATGCACCTGTTCAAGTTTGGGCAATCTGATCGGAATCTATGCTGTACTTGGGAATGTTTGGGACAAGAATGGAATTTCTAATTGATATCGCAACACAATATACCTGTTTGGAACAAGTTTGAACGGTCGAAATCTATGTTATACTTGGAAATTTTTGGGAAATTTCTATACGGGACAAAGAACCCATGTTTGGAATAAAAATGGGATTCATCACTGATATCGCAACACGATATACCTGTTTGGAACAAGTTTGAACGGTCGAAATCTATGTTATACTTGGAAATTTTTGGGAAATTTCTATACGGGACAAAGAACCCATGTTTGGAATAAAAATGGGATTCATCACTGATATCGCAACACGATATACCTGTTTGGAACAAGTTTGAACGGTCGAAATCTATGTTATACTTGGAAATTTTTAGGAAATTTCTATACGAGACAAAGAACCCAGGTTTGGAATAAAAATGGGATTCACCACTGATATCGCAACACGATATACCTGTTTGGAACAAGTTTGAGCAATCTAATCGGAATCTGTTGCTATACTTGGTAATGCTTGGGAAATTTCCATGCGGGACAGAGAACTTATATTTCCCAATTGGTATTCTACAAGGATACCAATTGGGAAGTAACTAATCTCGAGAGAAATGTATGCATTCTAATCAGAATCTATGTTGCACCTGAGAAAATGTTGGGGAATTTTTATGCGGGATGTTCTTCTCGCCTCGGATGGAAGGAACGGCACGTCGATGGAAGTAACGGAGCGGCGCAGCAGCGGTGGCCTCCTCCGGTCTGTGTCGTAAAACGGACGGTAATTGCGCTATCGCGGTATTATGATTAATGCGCCCGCGCTTCTCTCATAATTACGTCGATGTATCCACGAGATGCGCTGCGCCGCGGGAGGGAAACCGCTCCGTTGAAATTCCTCGATCTTTCTCGGCCGCCCGACGTCATCGACACCTCGACGATGCCCCCCGGGATCTTTCTGTCGAACAAACTTGTCGACACGAGACAATGCTAAACGACAATTGTTCCCGTCCTGCAGAATCGCGAATCTCCGTTGAAGCATCTCGCGAACGTCAGTCAAACTCAAATATAATTAACCTTTAGGCTGCCGGCATTTTTTCATTAAAAAAGTGATTTTTTTTCTCAACAATTTTTCTATATAAGTAACATACATACATGGCGTGGAATTTTGAGATTTGTGCAGAGCCACAAAAGTGGCTTTCCCGGCAGTCTGAAGGTTAATGAGTAAAATTTACAATCACGCGCGCGATTACGAGTCACGGAATTCTTCTCGCTATCTTCAGGAGCGCGAGATATCATCACCGCACCCGTCAGATCTCGTCCTGACAATTACGTAAGGAACACGGCGCTTCCCGGGCCGAGACTGCGCGGCGAGCGCGGGGAAGCGAAGCGAGACGAAAAGAAGACCACACGGGGACGCTCGTCGTCACGGTCATTCGAAAGGTTTCGGCGACCCGTTACGGCGACGGGACGCACGGAGTCGGCGAGGAGGAGGTCCCTGACCCCGAGCGAGAGAGCCCCCTCGTCGTCGTCCGTCAATGCCGCGTACGCCTTTTCTCCCGCGGCTGAAAGTGAACTAACCGGAAGCCGATGTGTGTACAGACGCATGCGGACGGACGATCCTACGGTACTCGCCGGCCGAACACTGCGCGGATTGCGCAATTTCCGCGTGCGTCGACGTCGTCGTCCTGCTTGTCCACGGGGAGGTTCTCGAACCGGACAAATCGCGCGTCTCGCGAACGACAGACCGCGCGAGTCTTCCGAATTCATCCGTATAAAAATTCCCTAAGATTTTCTCAGCATAGATTCAGAATACCCAAATTTGACCTAAATTTTGGCCCTGTTAAATCTTGAATTCTGCAACGTAGTAGGAGCTAAGTTAGCAAAGTAGATTTAATTCTAATGATACAATTTACTCCTACTTTTACTCTGATTATATCCGAAATTTCTCTTCATTTTTTTAGCGTCAAAATAAGTTGCATTGTAAGCTTCAGAATATCAAAATAAATGGAATAATGAGACTGAAAAAATCTTGAATTCTGCAACGTAGTAGCAGCTAAGTTAGCAAAGTAGATTTAATTCTAATGATACAATTTACTCCTACTTTTACTCTGATTATATCCGAAATTTCTCTTTTCATTTTTTTAGCGTCAAAATAAGTTGCATTGTAGGCTTCAGAATATCAAAATAAATGGAATAATGAGACTGAAAAAATCTTGAATTCTGCAACGTAGTAGCAGCTAAGTTAGCAAAGTAGATTTAATTCTAATGATACAATTTACTCCTACTTTTACTCTGATTATATCCGAAATTTCTCTTCATTTTTTTAGCGTCAAAATAAGTTGCATTGTAAGCTTCAGAATATCAAAATAAATGGAATAATGAGACTGAAAAAATCTTGAATTCTGCAACGTAGTAGCAGCTAAGTTAGCAAAGTAGATTTAATTCTAATGATACAATTTACTCCTACTTTTACTCTGATTATATCCGAAATTTCTCTTCATTTTTTTAGCGTCAAAATAAGTTGCATTGTAAGCTTCAGAATATCAAAATAAATGGAATAATGAGACTGAAAAAATCTTGAATTCTGCAACGTAGTAGCAGCTAAGTTAGCAAAGTAGATTTAATTCTAATGATACAATTTACTCCTACTTTTACTCTGATTATATCCGAAATTTCTCTTCATTTTTTTAGCGTCAAAATAAGTTGCATTGTAAGCTTCAGAATATCAAAATAAATGGAATAATGAGACTGAAAAAATCTTGAATTCTGCAACGTAGTAGCAGCTAAGTTAGCAAAGTAAATTTAATTCTAATGATACAATTTACTCCTACTTTTACTCTGATTATATCCGAAATTTCTCTTTTCATTTTTTTAGCGTCAAAATAAGTTGCATTGTAGGCTTCAGAATATCAAAATAAATGGAATAATGAGACTGAAAGTAGAATCAAAATTTTGACTCGTGTAGATTAAATAGAATAAAAATAGAATAAATAAATGGAATAATGAGAATGCAAGTAGAATCAAAATTTTGACTCGTGTAGATTAAAAAAAGATTTAGGAATAAAATGTAGGTTTTAGAGTATCAAAATAGATGTTGAATAGAATAATATGGTTGAAAGTAGAATCAAAATTTTGACTCGGGATTGCACCTTTAACCAGAACCCATAATTATCGTGGCGAATCGAGCTGGATCCCAATTAGATCCCAAGGAATTTTCTATGAGGCCAGTGGAGAACCGCTTCCGTATCGCTCGCGATTTCCTCGGTTTAGATCGCAGCTGGATAAAGTGTGCTTTTGTATCCTACGACTGGAGTCTCTTGTTGCTCGAGGAGCGTTTGTGAGCGAATGTTAAGCGTGCTCGAGAATAGTTGGAGTAGAATGGCGGCGGCTTCGCCGTCTTCTTTTATTTGCTCCTCTCCTTCTCTCTACGTCTGCCTGTTTGTCTTCGCGTGTTTCCTCCTTCTTGTCGCCGGATTAGAACGAAGTGTACTCGTTACGATGCCGAGTTCCATCTGGTGTCGTGCTCGGCTAGCATGACCTGGGAGAAAGTGGCCTCTTATCACATTGCGACACGTGTGAAAAAGTGCCGAAAAAGGTCGTAAACGGCGAAAGCGTGCGCGAGCCGCGACTCCCGTTCTTGATGAACTTGAGAAGTTGATGAGCTTAGGGGATTGACGATGTCTATTAAAGTCGGTCGAGAGCCGGGAGAGAAAGAAAACGATATAGAAAGCGGTAGCCTTAATTCGACCCCGTAATTGCGGTCAGCGATCGATCGCGATAAAATCGCCGGCGATGAATCGGAATTCGGATTGCGGCCTTTCGTCCGCACCGCCAGCTCTACGAGGTCTGGACTAATTCTCAAAGAGAATTTCAGATCAACATAAAGACCGGCGGAAAAAACTGCCAGATCTTTCTCGCGATGAAACCAGGTGGCTGAAAGATCGCCTGAGGCCATCGAGGATAACGGAACCGCCTTGACAATCGAAAGTGTTACGCTTTTTGTTGTAGATGTTAATTGCGAATTTTGCAAAGAAAACCACCGAATAAATATCGTTTATCCTTCAGATATTTTCTCCCTCAGTGTACTTTAATGATATATCTTAGCAGCTACATATTTCAGCTCCTGCGGCCTTCCTGCGTGCGACTGATATCATCTCTGTTTTCCTGTTGCAGCTGCACCGTCGTGCTGTTCAATCCACGTAGGAACAGCCAGGCGCACGTGCTGAACGCCTGTCGTAAGACTGTGACTTCCTTGGCGCTCGCGGGAGACGGCAAGCTTCTGGCCACCGGCGAATGCGGTCACATGCCGAACGTTCGTGTCTGGGACATCTCCGATCCGCACAATGCCGTGCAGATCGCAGAATTCTCCGGACACAAGTACGGTATCAACTGTGTGGTGAGTACTTCGAGAGATCGAACGCCTTCTTCCTCACCGTCTCCGCGTGGCCCGATCCCGTGTTCGTTGCGGATAAGTAAAATCGGCGAGCAACTAAATGGACGACTTCGACTGTAAGGAGCACAATAAAAGAAATAAGGAGCAGGAAACAATAAAAGAAATAAGGAATAAGGAATACTGAAAACAAGAAATAACGCTATTCCTCTGTTCCTCTATTCTGCATTGATGAATTAGGTTTCATGTTTTAATATTGAACTGTTCCCTGTTCTCTACAAAAAAAATGGCTTAGTAATATCAGCTAAACCGTGATAGATGATCCAAACTTAGTCAAAAGGCTAATTGTTTAGCTGTCACTGCTAAGAATTGACTATGACAGCTAAAATGCATTCGCTATGAAATACAAATATATTAGGTGACATTAAAAATACACATTATTTCAAGTAATTAAGAAAATGGCAGTTATTCCTAAATTTCTTATCATATGCATATATTAGAAAGTTTTTTTTTTAATTTCTTATCATATGCATATATTAGAAAGTTTGCCGCACAGCTACAATTATTTGCTGCAGTCATTTGTTTCTAGCAGCTATTATTTCTCGCTGTAGCTAAATTTAAACAGCGAATAAATTTAGCTTCGGTAGTATCGACATTAGCTGTCCCTATTTCAGTGACACATCTTATCTGCCACAGCTATTTTTTTAGCTCTGGAAGCTAGTTTTTTTTTTTGCGTGTATTCTCGATTCCCTATTCCTCATTCCTTTTATTGTGCTCAGCTCCTTACTCCCGGTCGCTGTCGCAAAATGTTAGTCCAGAGAGTGCTGCTTTCGTAACTCAAAGCGCCGCGAGAAAGCCGGCCGCCGGTGAGCGCCCTTGTTTATCGTAATGCGATGACATAACGCAACACACGCGCGCCGCGCGTTTTATAATCCGCGCGCGCGTAAGTAATAGAGGATAATAACGCGCGGCTTAAGTCGCGCATTGGAAAGGGGAGAGGAGTGCGCATAGGAAAAACGTGTCTATTCCTAGCTCGCAGTCGATAATGGCACTGCCGCAAAAAAGCACCACTCGACCGGCCGCCGTGAATTGCGCGTTACGAACGGATCATATGCTCTATTCACAAAGCGAACGTGCTTGCGCCTTCGTACCTACGCGCCTGCCTATGCCACCTAGTCGTGGATCGTCGATTGGGAACGAGTACTTTTAAGGTCAAGATTTCAAGAACCGCTCCGAAGTTGAGCAATTGATTTTCTCGACGGAATACGTCGCGTTCCCCGAGCGACGGGCACTTCGCGATGCTCGCGAAGAGAAGAACACGCTGAATCGATTTAACACCAGTGACATTTAACATTACGATACTATCAGCTCTTGTTGACTCTTTGCGCTCCAAAAATGACGTTTCCCGGATAGAAAATTTCTTGGCACCTAATTGAGATCCAATCTGATATTCCAGAATAATTATGGATTCTACATAAAACTGTAATGTTTCAGACATATGCGATTTTAAGTGGAAAGCCTAAAGTTTTCCCAATATTTGTTTTGGTTTTTAATTTGCGTTAGAATTGAGTGAGATATTCTAAATGTTGTTGGATAGTAATGGATTCCAGTTAGATCCCGGAACATTGTCTACGCGGGGTGTAAAAGACCCTCGAGTCAATTTTATAGTTCAGTCGCGGCAGTTTAATCGTTCATAATTAATCTTTTAGCGAAGACATCCACTGATTATATATTAGTTTTACTGCACTAACACACCTGTGCTGAACTCTCATGGGCCCTATTTTAACTTCTGATTTATTCTTTTAGTACTCAGCAACGGGAAGATTGCTGCTTCAGCGTATAATTACTTTGTCGATCCGATCGTTCGAAAGAGAAAAAGACCCCTCGCATCATCTTTCCGACGATCGCTCTCTCGCGAGTTCACGCTGGAACCGAGATCGCTCGAGACCTCTCTTTCGGTCTCTCTTATTCCGCTTCTTTCAATCTCGTCCCGGCACGATTTTCGTTTCGCATTCGATCCGCGTGCATCGTGCCGGCGCGCCGCGGTGCGCGGTCACAAGGCGTCGACGCGCGAAGTACGAGCATACCGAATCGTTTCCGATGAATAACCAACGGTATTCCTTTCATTGTCCCGTAGTACACACCACTATATTCCCGTATAACGCAGCGCGCCGCGAGTCTCGCCGTGGCGCCGTGCGAGGAGCTTTTCCCAGGCTCTTCTCGATGCCCGGCAGAAAGAGAGAAAGAGAGATTTTTATCGTTCGCAATCGCGAATGATCACCGGTAATATCGCCTCGAATTATATTAATCGTGCGCGAGATCGTCCCACGATTAATAGTAACTCCGAAGTCGAGTCGCGCAGTACAAGACGCGACCCGGAGGATATCCCCTCATCTCAACTTCCCCTCTTTGTGTTTTTCTTTTCCTTCCCTTTCGCGCGTCGGATCCTTTCTCATTCGCTTTTGTCTCTCTCTCTCAGGCATTTTCGCCCAGCAACAAGTACGTCGTCTCGGTCGGCTCGCAGCACGATATGATCGTCAATGTCTGGGACTGGAGGAGCAATGTTAAGGTCGCGTCCAACAAAGTGTCCAGCAAAGTAAAGGCAGTATGCTTCGCGGAAAACGGCAACTATTTCGTTACCGTGGGCAACAGGCACGTCAAGTTTTGGTACTTGGAGTACTCGCGCAGCGCCAAGGTAATTGTCCTCCTTCGCGCCGCTCTCTCTGTCTCTCAGACACCTGAGAGTGGCTCGTTCTCCTCTCTTGTTCTTTCCTTCTCTTTTTTTTTTTTTTTTTTCTTAACAAAGATAGCAGCTTCATAGCTCACGCGATTCTCCGTTACGCAGTACAAGGAACCTGTGCCTTTGATGGGCCGATCTGCCATATTAGGAGAGCAGAGGAACAACGATTTCGTTGACGTAGCCTGCGGCAGGGGGGAAATGGCGGATTCTACGTATGCGATTACCAAAACGGGTCTGCTGTGTGAATTTAACAACAGGAGACTCTTGGACAAATGGGTCGAGCTGCGAGTAAGTCACACACTTTGGTTCTCGGCCGAGCTAAGGGGGAACACCACGGTGAGGGCAAAGAAAGAAAGAGTATAAAGAGAGATCTTTGGGGATTCTTTTGTTGCGTAACAATACATTTTATCAAATGGCTATTTTACATATATTAAATGCACGTTCTTTTAAAAAGATTTTTATGTTGTTTATTTAGAACACATGTTTTACGACGAGCTAAGTTCCGTAAGATGAGCCCTCTATCGACAAACATTGCTTCGATCACTGTTCCTGAACAGTCAATTTGAAGTCAATGAAAGCAAAAATGTTCAAAAACTGAACGAAAGTAACCTCGTTTGTACGTAGGAATTTTTAAGAAAAATTTACCTTTTACAAAATGACAGATTTTACAAGGAAAGATCACGAATTTTCGACAAAAAATTATATAATCTTTCATAGAACCCGATAAAAAATCAATTCTTTAAAGTTTCTATCGTGGTGACCCCCCCTAACTCGATTTTTCTACACATAAACGCATACACACACACACACACACACACACACACATGTGTCTCTCCGCTGTGCGCGACAAGGTGGAAAAAATCGCGAGATCGACAATCTCTGATAGGATTTCCGAGGGCGAGAAGAAATGATATCACGTCTGTGCGCTTTTACAGACGAGTAGCGCCAATTGCATGGCGGTCGGGGATAAGTACATCTTCATCGGATGTGCCGAAGGGATCGTGAGGTGCTTCAGTCCCAGCACGCTTCAATTCATCACCACGTTACCCAGGACGCATTATCTGGGGGTCGACGTCGCACAAGGCTTGTCCATCAGGTAAAAAAAAATGCGTCTCATAACGCTCTCTAAATTTCTTGGAGTGAATTTTCGCTCACAAAGCAAAGCGACCACTCGAAGTCAAGCGATTTTCCACTCATATAGGGCGAACTCTGCATCCTGAATTATCGAGTGAATAATTCCACTCAAAATTGAAGAGTGAATCTGACATGTTCCATCATCACAGAAAGATATTCACTCCATCGATTGAAACATTCGCTCGTGTGTAGTTGGAGTTCACTCTAAGCTTCGGTGAAACATTCACTCTTGTTATTCCGAGTGGCAGTATTTGCGCATTATCACTTCGAGCGAAAATACCGCCACTTTCCACTCGTCTCGAGTGAGATTCGACTCCGAGAAATTTGAAGAGTGCTAATGCAACCTCTCTCAGTCGTGTGACGAGCGAAGGACTTGAAGGAAAATAATTCACTTCTCAATCCAAGCTCAAAGAGATAAATTTGTGAAATAATTCTCATTATTCTATTGCGTAAACGTTTCATTGAATTATCAAGCGATAATTTACAGTCGATATCGATATCGCGACATTGAGTTATTTCCTTCAAACCGAATTTTCACGCTGTGGCGTCGACTTCTCCGTCCGCGGCATTCACGAGATATCACGGGCATTCTTTCAGTCACATGTCCCAGCACCCACCCGAGGCGAGGTATCCGGACGCGATCGCGTTGGCGTTCGACGAGCGCAACAACAAGCTTACTTGTGTCTACAACGACCACAGCATCTACGTTTGGGATGTAAGGGACATCAGGCGAGTTGGCAAGTCACATTCGTTCCTATACCATTCGGCCTGCATCTGGGGCGTCGAGATGTATCCGGCCGGTCCAGACTGCATCGGCGCCATGCCGGCTGGCAGCTTCATCACTTGCTCCAGCGACGACACAATAAGAGTCTGGAATCTGGAGAAGGACATCTCGTCGAACGATACCTTGTACAAACGAAATATTTACAGCAACGTGAGTGTCTTTCTCATTAATCCACAGTCATAATGCACAATCAATGTTACAACACACTTGTTACTACAATGATTGAGAAACTCCGTTCACGGATCATTTTGTTTTTTTTTTTTCTTATTCATTTGTGTAAGGCCTAGTTGCACCAACATTATTTTGGTTTTAAGCGAAACTTAAACATATATCTATATTTATCTTTATTTTTAAATAAATGAAGACAGACATATATTTAAGTCTCACTTAAAACCAAATGTCAGATGACATAACAAAATAACGTTGGTGCAATCGCACTTTAGACAGACTTAATTTGTTTATATAGACATGGAAAATAAATTGTAACACTGGTAGCGATTGTATAGAAGCAGCAATTTTTAGTAAAGCTAAACTTTATGTGAGAGATATGTGTTACATATATGTGACGCCAGTAACAAACGTATTGTATAGATATTATGCTCGTGGTCGAAAAATTTGAGTTTAATAAGAATATGGAGGCTGCTATGGCGGTTTTATATATCACGTCATCGAGAAAGAAGAAGTTGACGGTCTTATTTCTCTCGGTTCTCCCTTTTGCCAACAGGAATTGCTCAAGGTACTATACGTCGATCCGGAGTTGACTTACCTGAAGGACCTGGACCTGGCTGCGGCCGGATCCACGGAGAAGAGCGACGCGTCTTACGACGGCCGTAACGGCGTGAGATCGATAAGGGTCGGTCCAGACGGCAAACACCTCGCTTCCGGCGATAGGTGAGCTTGATCGAATTAATACAGGCGATTAATGGGAGCGCCAGAGATAGAGAGACGCGCCCCGAGGTAACGCGCGATTCGTTTCACCGTGCATTGTTCTTCCGCAGATCTGGCAACATTAGAATTCACGACGTCTCGTCGCTCGAAGAGCTGTGCTTAATAGAGGCGCACGATGCCGAGGTGCTGTGCCTGGAATACTCGAGGTTCTCGCGGTACTCCGTGGACGCCCCGAGGCTGTTGGCGAGCGCGTCGCGGGACCGCCTGATACATGTCTTCAGCGTGGATCAGGGATACAATTTCCTGCAGACGCTCGACGATCACAGTTCTTCCATTACTGCCGTCAGATTTTTCAATCAAACGAATCAGGGTAATCAAATACAGATGGTGTCCTGCGGCGCCGATAAGAGCATTATTTTCAGACAGCTGCAATCGGTAAGACCCTGTTCTTCTCAGCGATTACATTCGATTTGATTCACGGGAGCGCATCTTATTCACGCTACGCTGCTCCGTCTTTTAGACACCAGGAGGAATGCCACAGTTCGCGAGAGGTCACAACGCCCAGGGAAAGACTACTCTGTACGACATGGAGGTCGATTCCGGGCAAAAGCACGTGTTAACTGCCTGCCAAGATAGAAATATTAGGGTTTACAATGTTACTACGGGTAAACACAGCAAGACTTTCAAAGGTTCCGTCGGCGAGGACGGCTCGTTGATCAAAGTCGTCTTAGGTGAGAAACAAGTTCATTTACTCGGATCTTTAGATCGCGCTCGTGACTTTATGACCTATAATAATCGCGTGTTTCGTCTTACTCTTCCAGACGCGTCCGGTATTTACGTAGCTACCTCATGTACAGACAAGACGCTGTGTGTGTACGATTATTACAGCGGGGAGTGTATGGCCACTATGGTCGGTCACTCGGAACTGGTGACGGGTCTGCGTTTCAGTCCGGATTGTCGTCACCTCGTGTCCGCGAGCGGCGACGGCTGTGTATTCGTGTGGCGCGTTCCGCACGACATGGTCGTGACTATGCAGGCTCGTCTCGCACAGCAAGCGATGCGCGCCGGCAAGTGAGTATACTCATTATCTTTGTAATGTGTAACATAAAGTCATTAGGTTAATTTAGAAATTTTCTCATGAATTGATTTAGATGCCTCCCTATGAATACCGAAAGACAATACTA